TTCTCGAGCGGCTATGGGATAGGCGGGAACGGGGGAGTGAAGTAGATATGGTGGAAGTACGCGGCCAGGTTCTTAGACATTGGAGCCATCTGGTTGGTGATATGCGTTACTTTCTCATCCACGTGGTGAACCTCCACCGGAGAGAGAGAGGGTGAGAGAGAGAGAGTACCGCCGGCGGCATTCGAGTGTCGACAGTCGCGTGAGGTTGGAGGCAGCAGCGAGTGGTGGGTTGCGTGGAAAGAGATAGGAGAGATAGAAGGTCGTGCGAGGTTGCAGCCGCTGGTGGAGGGCGGCTGGTCAGTGGCGGTTGCGGGCTGGTAGTGTTCGCGTAAGGAGGGTGGCCGCGGGTTGTGGAAGAGAAATGAGCGGCGGCTGGTGGAGTGACGCGCGCGATGATAGTGGGCGATGTGGAGGAGAGAGACGGGCGACGTACAGGGTGGTTGAGCGGCGTACAGTGACGACGTGCGTAGAAGGAGTGGAGGCTGAAAGAAGAAAAGAAGGAAAAGGGAAACAGGGGCAGCGAGGAAGAAGAGGAAGAAAAGGGAAAGAAAGAAAGGGAAACAAGAAAGAAAAGAAGAAGAAAGAAAAAGAAAAAGAAATTTTTTTTTTTTTTAGAATTGAATTGAGATTGGAAAATTCGATTTTTGAATACCAAAACTGAAAATGAAAAAGGATATTACTTTTATTTTAAAATTTTAAATTTTTTTTATTTTTTTGAAAGTGAAAAATTATTTCCTTTGTTTTTGGGTCGTCAAACATAGCGTGGTCACGCTAAGATTATAAAACGTCCACTGACCTTAGGAGTCACAAACACCGCGTAGGCACACCAAAATTGGTAAACATTCACTAATCTCAGGAAACACAAACACCGCGTGGGCACGTCAAGATTGCACTTCTTGATCACTGTGGAGGAAAATATTAATACTGATACTACACCCAACGGGGAAACGACAAAACGAAAGAAATGAACAACTAAAAATAATAAAACCAATATTTGGGTTGCCTCCCAAAAGAGCGCCTTTCTTTAATGTGTTTGGCTAGACATTGTCATGTTTGTTCAAGGAGGATAAAATCTTGTGGCTTGTTTCAGTGCTTCATCCTCTATATAATCCTATAGCCCTCGTAAATAGAGTAATCTTTAGGCACACGAGTTACGAGCTTCCATGAACTAGTAAATGGCGCCAAACAAGTCAACGATAATTTGCATTCTCCATTCACTCCCCCCCACGTGCATTTATTGGTCCAAGATATCTTGCCATCGCTACTCTTAATTTATTTCTGTAATGAAATTCAAAATTTTCTGGTATAATAAAGTCAATTTCATTAACAGGAATTGAAGAATAAGAGTCAGGAAAATATTGATTAAGGAATGGAGGAGATGTCACCGCATTTGGAGATTGTTCACTGGATTCATTCACTTGAACGAGTTGATATTGGGGTCTCATTTCTTGCACTTCAACTTCCTTTTCAACTGCATCTTTAGATCTGTTTTCTTGAAACTCTTGCAATTCCATGTCATTTGGCCGGATAATTGCACTCTCATCTTCCTCAAGGTTGATGTTGGTCTGTGAGGGCAATTCTTCACACATCTGAGAAGTTATTCTAGATGTCAATAGTTACACTTGACTCGTCATTGCTTGTGTCTCCTGTTGAAATCGATATGTATTAGCAGCTAATAATTCAATCATTTCTTCAAGAGACATACCTGACATGGATGATGGTTGTTGAGACTCTTGCTGTTGAAAATTCATTGGACCGGTCGCATAATTGGAATTATCCCACTATCCTTGATCATACCTGTTTGAGTAAGGGTCATACCACGTTTGAAATCGAGGTGAAAAATCTCCAAAATTATCAATCGGAGCACTTAGATTATCTTGAAATGCGGGGCATGTGTCAGTTGAATAATCTGAGGTAAAATAAGTTCCACAATTTGCAATAGTCCATTGATCATTAGGAAAAACACGAGTCTCATAACCCCATTCAGGAATAAAGTCCAGTCTATCATTAAAATACGGAATGTTAGCAGCCATAAACTATATAAAAAAATAAGAGAAAAATAAATAAAAAATAAAAATAAGATGAACTAAAAAAGAAATAAATTAATCTGACACCAGTCCCCGGCAACGGCGCCAAAAATTGACAGGGTGTCGAGCCTGTGCAATAATAATTACCTACTCAAGAAAAATACAAAGTTTGTATATAGCGGTGAGTAGGGTCGAATCCACAGGAATTGGGGATAATTCATTTCTTCTAGAATTCAGCGCATGGGGGATTTTTGAAAAATATAAAATGACTAATTAACTAACTAATGAAACAACTAATAGAAATAAACAAGAATTAATTAATAACCAATACGACTCTAGCCAAAGGTACAACTTTTCAGACACGGTCCATCCAACTGATCATCGATGCAAAGATAATTCAATTATTCATTACTAGATTGGTTATAGTTGTCATACACGCGATGAACAACCAGCCTTTCCTTAATTTCTCGATAGTTAAGGTACGACCGTTAACTATTTTTCTAACCAAGAAATAACTCTAGGTACGACCATAGGATTTAATTACTCAATTGCATTAATAATTAGAAAAACCCAATCCTAACCAACAAACACGCTACGAGGGTTTGTTTAAATTAGATCATATGATTCCCTAACATGAAACCAATCACGCTAGTCGCCACTGGTATTAATCGATTGAACAATTACGGATTCAATTAGTTAATTTGGCATTAGATCATTAGATTAATTCGAATATCGGGCCCTTGACATTCAAATAACATAACAAACATAAACAATTAAATCAGGAAACGTACAAATACCAATAAATAAAAAAAATAAGTAAAATAATTAGATCTCACAGATGTTCGGAACCGAGTTCTCAAATTGACTTTGGACTAGAAAAAATGAATTAGTTCATCTTCATGGAGGAAATCCCATGCATAATTGCAGAAGTAATTCCGGCCATTGTCACCGAAATTGAGACAAGGAAAAACGATAAAGTAAGAACAACGGGAAAAACTCCCAATTCCCCAAAGATGACTAATTGGTTCCTACCTAAGTGTCTCATATACGATGGAAAAGGAAAGCCACCAAAAGTGTGCAAAAGTCAGTAGTCTAGTAGGAGTCAAAATTGACGGCTACTTTTTCTCCCTAATTTCCTATATAATCTCTACTCCTATTCGGCTAGCAATGAGGAGAAAAAGGAAGACTCCCAATCTCCCTTGACTTCTTCCGTGGCTAGCTCTCCAAAAGCTACCAAAAAGATAGAAGTCTTAATCCCAATTTGACTCCTTTCTTTGCACTTCCAAATGAGAGTCGGTGTTGTGCATTTTTTTCCGAACCTTTGGACATGTTAAAATCTAGGTTGATGCGACCACGCCAAGCGGTATTTGCAGTACAATATTCGCACTATTTTATCACATTTTGCTCCAACTCCCTGTAATAAGCACAAATACCAAAAGTAAATAGAATCCGCCAATTAATGCATATTTGTTAAGACAATAGAAGGGAATTAATTGTAAAATAAATGACAAAATTACACCATATCACTTCCTGCGATAGCTTAAAGGGAATTAGCTCTATATGCACTACAACAAAAAAGGTTTTCTTGACATGCTTATAAGGACACTTGTTGGTTTGTGTTATTATAGTATTTCTATTATGACACTTATTATCAACTCAATAATATATACTTTAATTTTTTTTATTTTATCTGATATAAGAATAATAATGTGCCTTTAGACTACTTATTATTACACTTGAGAAAATGTGAGATATACCAAAAAAAGAAGGAAAGGCACAAACCGACATCGTAGTGAATTGGCGGAAGATTCATTTGCTCAAAACTTTCATTTTGCTGGCCAAAACACTTAGTCAAATTTTGCTTCTTCTTATCTCTGTCACAAGAAACACTCTCTCCGCAACAAACTATCCTCGGCAAATTATCTCGGACACCAAAACGCTTGGAGTTTTTTTCTGCTGAATCTCCCTGCAAACAAACTTTCCTTACTTTCCCGTTGAAGGTATGTAATTGCATGGTAATTTTATTTTATTTTGTGAGCAATTAGATAATGCTTTTGCTAAATGTCACCGTAAAGAAGTTTTCCATTCTTCAAGTTGTTCCCCTTTTTTTCTTGAGATTTTATTGGACATTATTAGCTATTCTTGAAACTGTGTACTGTATTGTGTTGAATTGTGAGGGTTAAATTTTAAAGTTTGCCCTAAATTGATTACATTTGAAATTAGTCCCATCTGTTTGAGATTGAAATGGATGTAGTAATAGTTTATGATTTGGGTGCACTTGTTGTTCAGTTTTATTCCTCTCGGTTGTCTACTTGGTTCGTGCGACTATTTTGTTATGGATTTGTTGCCCATAACCTGTTCGATAAAATGTCAAGTAGATAACCGAGAAACTGGTGAATCTTAGAAAAGTGATTACAGATAAATCTCATGTGACCAGATACTTCGTGTGAAAGAGTCTTACAAGGATACATGTTGACAGGCAGGCCAGTGAAAGAGAGAAGCCTAGTTTATTCAATTTGAATTAATTCACTTGATTTAACAGAAGCATCTTTGAGTCTCTTGCATTCGCATGACCCGGTTAGGGTTTATGACCAACCATACACCCTTCCACAGCTAGCTAGAGGGGCAGTCAGGATGGACAAACTAGGTTTTCCTTCTCTTAGACTTATTAAAGGACTATCTGCGTGACTGGCCTATGCTCAGTTTGTATGTTTGTGTTACGGGCAATAAAATAAAAGGGGTATTTACCTCAAAAAAAAACTGAAGCATCTTTGCTAACTGCTACTCGAATTGAGCACTGTTGTCTTTACAGATTTCTTCTACAACCAGTTCGTAATTGTGATATATGGTAGTGTTTGAAAGAAGTGACAGTAATGTCTTGCGTCTTTTGCCCCCAAAAAAACAAAAAGATTTGCGGATATTTGATCCCCCATTTGCCGACAGACTCTTATCTTTATTTTAGTTTTATTTCATTATTCGCATGCAGATATCTAGCTGTGTCCCATCGAACTACATGGCACAACAATTTGACATCAATGAGAGGATGAGGGGCATTCTTATTGGCTGGCTGATAGAGGTAAAGAAATAATTTCACATTACTTTGGCATTCTTACAAATTCTGAACTGTCAGAATGACAGGGTGTCGGCCTGTGCAATAATAAAAACCTGCTAAACTAAAATTAATTTCTATAGATAGTGGTAAGCAGGGTCGAATCCACAAGGATTGGGTATAACTGTTTCTTTTCAAATTCACAGTAACAAAGGGGGTGTTTTTGCGCAGAAGGTGACAATCAAAGAAATTCAAATAAAATCTAAGAAACTACTAAAAATTAAATAACAAATTACTAAAATTAAATGGGTGATAATTAAGGATCTAACCAAGAAATAACTTCAGCAATGGTTCACCTAATTGATCATTGAGACAAAGGCAATTCCAATTATTTACTAATAAATAGGTTATAACTGCCAAACAAGCGATGACAATCAACCCCTCCTTACTATATCGGTGATTAAGGTACGCCCGTTAATCACTGTTCTAATTGAGAAACAATCTTAGGTACGCCTGTAAGATTTAATTCCCCAATTGCTTTACGCATTAGAGGAGCCCTATTCTAACCAAATAACACACTACCAGGGTTATTTTAGGTTAGCCCGCGTATTCCCCTGATACAAACCCAATCATGCCAGTTATCACTATTTTGAAATAATTAAATAATTACGGATTTAACGCCCCAGTTGACAGTAGATTATCAAATTAACTAATCATCCGGATCCAAGACAATCAATTAGTTAAACAATCATAAGCACTATAATCAGGGAATATGGGAATACCAATAAATAAAAGGAAAAGGTAAAATTAAATCAATCTCACAGTTTTAGGCGAGTCAAAGCATCCATTGTTCCTTAACTAGACAAAGGGATTTAACTCATCCCTTGTCTACACTTACGGAAAAAAAGAAAAGAGAAGAAACTAAAGATGATAGAAAAAGTCAAAGGCTCAATCCAGTCCTCTGACATACATAGGAGTAAAAAGCAAAAGAAAAGTCCCCAGGAAAAGTCCAAGACAAGCTAAGCTAAAAACGAAAAGTTTTCTTCTCAATTTCTATCTAAGTCTTCTTCCTACGCTGGCACTGTGCGGCGCCCCCCTTGCGGAGAGGACCTCCTCCAGCCCTTCGTTCCTTTCCTCATTTTATGTTGTCTTTCACAAATTACCAAAAAAGGTCGCGCCTTGATATTCCAAAAATACCCCCGGACGCCTGCCCTTTGAGCTCTTTCCTGATAATCATCAAATTGGTTCTTGTTATGGTATTTTCGATCTACTCCCTGAAATAAATGCAAATTACGAAAAGCGAATAGAATTTAATAATTAATCCATATCAAGTCAGGTAATAGGGAAAATTAATAATAAAATAAATGATAAAATTGCAACCTATCACAGAAGTAAGAAAAAGGTTACGGTTAACACTGTACTTCTGAATGTACAGGTGCATTACAAGTTTGAACTGATGGATGAGACCTTGTATTTAACTGTCAATCTAATAGATAGGTTCTTAATAACAGTCTCTGTGGTGCGCAAGAAACTTCAACTTGTTGGAGTGACAACAATGCTTCTGGCTTGTAAGTATGAAGAAGTTTCTGTTCCTGTCGTTGAAGACCTCATATTGATTTCTGACAGGGCTTACTCTAGAAATGACGTGCTTGAGATAGTAGGTTTGTTATGACATCTATTGTCTATGAGTTGATCTTTGATATATGAAGGTTTCCTTTGTCATATAACTAAAATTGAACTGTGACTCGCTGCAGGAGAGCTTAATGATCAATACCTTGCAGTTTAATCTTTCAGTGCCTACTCCTTATGTCTTCATGAGGCGCTTTCTTAAAGCTGCTCAATCTAATAAAAAGGTATTGTTTCGTATTTAGTGTATGTGAATTTTTTGCACTATCTTGATCTGCCTAATAACTGGCAATAATCTTCTGGTGACTAGTTGGAGCTTCTATCCTTCTTTATCGTTGAGTCGTGCCTCGTCGAGTATGAAATGCTTAGGTTCCCCCCGTCTCTCTTAGCAGCAGCAGCAATCTTTACTGCACAATGCTCTGTCAATGGGTTCAAGAAGTGGACTAAGACATGCGAGAGGCATACAAACTACACTGAAGATCAGCTTTTGTAAGTGGTTCCTTATGCTTTTCACACATTAATGAATTTTTTCATAAAAGGTAATGGTGGCTTTTGTATTATGTATATTTTATAAAAAATTTATTGTTAATTTATGTTAATTTTCTTGTTCCTAATTATGTTTCAGAAAAGGTTTGTTTTGCCTATGGGACTGGAAGCTTGGACCTTAAGATCTATTGGCAAAAAATGGAGAAGCTGGAAGGCAGATTTAAAGGCTACATATTTTGATCCTACTTTGCCAAATGCTGAAGCTCGGTTTCAAAAGGATGTAAAGGTTCGGGAAGAGCAATGGATAAAACTTTGGACTTATTGGAAAAGTGAAGAAGCGAAGGTACAAATCAGCTACAACATTCTTAATAAAATTGTGTTTATTCAATGCTGTAATCTTGGTTATGATTTTGAAATTTAGAAACTAAGTGAGAGGAACAAGAAAGCTAGAGCGGAAAAGAAGATGAACCACACAACCGGAAAAAAGTCATTTGCTCATCTTCGGAACCACATTGGATGAGGTCGGGCTACAAGCTCTTGGACCAAACTGGTATGAAATACAGATACAAGTTGCAATGAGTCCAAGTGAGCAATTGATTAGACCGTATGATTTGCAACAAACAATTCAAGATGCACTTGGTGCACCAATTGCTTGGCCTTGTCATTTGGTAATATATGCACTTACTCACATTGTGGCCTTTATGGAATTTTATTGCTAGCTAGGATGATCTAATGATCCCAACAAACTTTGTGCACAGGTGAAACCAGCTGAAGATTGATGGGGTATTCGTGGTTATAACTGAAGGCTCTCATTTCATTGGAAAGTTTGGAAGCTACTGCAAGTTCTTTCTACTTGTTAGGGAAGAGAATCTTTTAGTTTGTGCACAAGAGAATCTTTCAAGTTTGCCCTTGTTAGGGATTTGCTATGTTAGTACTTGCTACTGACTTTTAGTTCAACAAATTATATTTGAGCATTCACTTTTGCTTTTAGATTACTATATGCATTCTGTTCTTTGGGATAATTTTACAAGTCCATTGGGTTTCTGATTGACGGAATGTATAGTAGGGAGCACTACCTGCAGGTTGCTTCTATATCAAAGAAAAAAAAACTTCTGACAGTTAAAAGTATCAGCATAGAATTCGATATCCTAATGTTGTACTATAGCTATCCTGACACTTTCGATTATCAAGAAAAGAGATTTTTGTTGACAGATGGGATGCTATAACAGCATAGTTTTCCTGACACATTTAAATGTTACGAGCCTATCCCCACATTGGAAGGGACGACACTCGTCCGAGGTGTGAGGAAAGGTAAAGTGTCAGATTAGATTATTTATACTAACACTTTTAAATGCCGTTAAAGTTTATTTTGTTGTAGTGACGTCACGTTAGTAAACTCGTCCTAAAGTCCCAGTCTAAGCCAATACCAGTTTGGACACTCAAATTAACAAAAAAAAAAGGCCTTCATTATGATGATGATGCTCAATTGAACATTTCCATTGGATCAAAATCCAATAGTTAAGTTCATCATATCCACGTTTCATAGCCAAGTGTTGCAGTCAAATAAGTCAATCTGGATAACTCAAACATGTGAAACTCAATTGAACATTTCTAGTAGTGGTCGAGGCATTTGCAGCTTTGTAGCAGTTAAAATTTTCCAGAAGAAGCTAGAGCCACCATCAAAGCTTTCAAACAAAACCTAAAGTCATATGCAACAAATTATATGGTACGTATTGTCGCAATACCTTAGCAACACTATGGACCAACATAAAAGCAAATTCTCGTGAAAGAATTGACATCAGACATTGTCATTTTGGATCAACTTACAAACCAAAATCTATGGCGAGGAAGAAACATCATCATCATAATGAAGGCTTTTTCTTTTCTTTTTTTTTTTTTTTAAATTTGAGCGTCCAAACTGGTATTGGCTTAGACTGGGACTTTGTAAGTAGATTAAATAATGATAAAGTGATCTTTGTGAAAACAAGTTTTCTAGAGAAAAGTAGAAATACGAAAACGTATGCTTGATGAGAAGAGCAGCAGCTTGCTTGACTGCCTTAGACGTTCCTCTAAAATAAATGGGAAAAAAAAATTTAATGATCCCCAAAATAACCATTATGACTACTTTATTGCAAAGTTTTTTTTTTTCAAAACATTAAGTGATTTTATAGATAATAAACCTGTACAGATTCAAGTAAAGACTTGAAAGAACTTTACAATCAGTGTATTCTAACACTGAGGAATCCAAAATTCCTGGTCTTCTATGAATTCTAGCGCTTGCACGCTAATCCGGTGACTAATATGGTTACTATTCCTATTTACTAAACAAAATGAGCACATGCGAAACAAGGACTGAAGGCTATAAATATCCTCCATCAGAGTGGCCATTCGCATATCCTGAGATTTCCTTTGCTGAATGAGATTGTACGTTAGCTTGTTCTGGATTTGCACTTCAATCCTTTCCATTTTTTGGACAGTAACTTTACACATCAGTAGTTTTATGGCTGTTAATTCGTCCATGACTTGGTGACCAGAGCTTCTTTCCTGTAAAGTCCAGCCTCGTATCATGTTTTGATTGTCCTTGGAGACAGTGACGCCTATTCCAACTTGAGGCGTGTCTTTACTCTTTTCTGTAGCAAACCTTAATCTCAGTATGCCTTCCATTTCCTCCTGATGCTGGGGGGATTCCATCTGTTCTCTTGTTTCTTCTATACTCGTGCTTGAGGTCTTTGTCAATGCCTCTTCATATTCCAACCATTCCTCCTGAGCTGTCTGTATTGTTCTCATAGGGTGCTGCTGCTTGGCATTGAATTCCTTTTCATTCCTACTTTTCCAGATTTGCCAAAGGATGTTCGCTGTTAGGGAGATATGTTTGTTACCCTCACTTCTCGTGCTAGCTTCCATCATTGTAGCCCACCACCTGCTAAAACAACCATGCTGGTCTAGTATTCCTTCCCACTGAATAGGTGACATTTTCCACACTAGTTTGACTTGGTTGCAATTAAGCAAAGCATGCTCTATCGTCTCACCTTGCTCACCACAGATTCTGCATATTGGATCACCTTGTTTGGTTCTATCGTAGATGAGTTGTCTTACTGGTAACACCTGGTTTAGGCATTTCCACAAGAAAATCTTCACCTTATGCTTGATGTTCAGTTTCCAAAGATGCTTCCAACATTTCTTTCTATTCGAGCTCCAACTTGTACCAGTTACCTCCGTGGCTTCTTGCTCTCGTTCCATTTGGCCTTCAGATTGTATTCTATAAGCTGATCTCACTGTGTAATTCCCATTTGAACTATGGATCCAGTAGTTGTTGTCCTCTCTGTTGGTTAGGCTTATGGGGATGCTTAGAATGCACTCTGCCTCCTTGGAGCTAAAATTTCTGAATATCAGATTTTTGTTCCATCTATACTGGATGATCAGCTCCTCTACTTTAACCAGATTACACCCCTGTGGTTTCTGTGAGGTAACCTTTCCTTGATTGTTATCTGGCATCCAGCTATCTTCCCAAATATAGGTACTCTTTCCATTGCCTATCCTTCTCCTGGTTCCTAGCTCTATCAGTTGCCTTGCTCCCATCAGACCCTTCCAAATCCAGGATGCATTCCTAGTTACTTTGCACTTGAGAAGCGATTGTTTGGGATGGTATTTGTCCTTAGGTACTTTACTAACCAGCAGATTTGGTTGTGTGATTAGCCTCCAAACTTGCTTCCCCAATAGAGCTGTATTGAATGCCTCTAGATCTAGAAATCCCAATCCTCCATCCTTCCTGTCCAGTGACATTTTATTCCAAGATCTCCAATGCATCTTGTTCCTTCCATTTGCCTCTCCCTACCAATAGTTTGCCATCACAACATTAATCTCTTTGCATATCTTCTTTGGCATCTTGAAGCATGACATCGTGTATGTTGGCATTGCCATTGCTACTGATTTGAGCATAACCTCTTTGCCTGCCGCACTTAACAACTTGTTTTTCCATTTCTTCAATCGCTGCTGGATGTTGTCTCTAATATAGCCAAAAAGTTGTTGTTTCGATCCTGTGACCACCATTGGGAGTCCCAAGTACTTGCCTTGGTTGACCTTCTGGATATTTCCAAGTGCTTGACAGACTTCCATCTTGGCTTCCTGCTCCAGATTCGTGCTGAAAATGACTGAGGATTTTTCTAGGTTGATCAGCTGGCCAGTGCCTCTTTCGTACACCTGGAGTATCCGTCTCAGCTCTGATGCATTCTGATAGTCAGCTTTGCAAAATATCAAGGAGTCGTCTGCAAAAAACAAGTGAGTTAGTTGAGGCCCTTGTCTACTGATCCGCATGCCTTCAATTCTTCTTTCAGTTGCTGCCTTCTGTAGGAGATTAGTGAAGCCTTCAGAGCAAAGCAGGAATAGATAGGGTGACAGTGGGTCGCCCTGTCTAATTCCCCTCTGTGGTATCACATATTCCTTCACCTCTCCATTGATCATGAAAGAGTAGGAAACAGATGAAATGCATTCCATTATCCAGCTCCTCCATTTGTCATTGAATCCCATCTTCTGCATCACAGCTGCCAGGAATCTCCATTCTACCCTGTCATAAGCTTTTGACATGTCTAATTTCATAGCCATAAAACCCTCTTTCCCAAGCCTTTTGTTTTTGAGATAATGTAGAAACTCATGGGAAATCATAATGTTATCTAAAATTTGCCTACCAGGGATAAAAGCTGATTGATTTTTACTAATGCAGGAGTGAAGGACTAGTTTCAATCTATTAGCTAAGATCTTTGATATGATTTTATACACTGTAGTGCACAAGCTGATGGGCCTATAGTGCTTGAGGGATGTGGGAATCATGACTTTGGGAATGAGAGAAATAATAGTGTGATTGGCTGACTTAATGAGATGACCCGTGTGAAAGAAAGTTTGAATAGCTCCAACCAGATCCTTTTTGATTATGTGCCAGAATTTCTGAAAGAAAATTGGAGGCATTCCATCTATACCTGGGGCTTTATCTGGACTCATGGAGAAGAGGGC